TTAGTTATCACCCAGTGTTAACTGTTAGTTATCACCCAGTGTTAACTGTTAGTTATCACCCAGTGTTAACTGATAGTTATCACCCAGTGTTAACTGATAGTTAGTTATCACCCAGTGTTAACTGATAGTTATCACCCAGTGTTAACTGTTAGTTATCACCCAGTGTTAGCTGATAGTTATCACCCAGTGTTAACTGTTAGTTATCACCCAGTGTTAACTGATAGTTATCACCCAGTGTTAACTGATAGTTATCACCCAGTGTTAACTGATAGTTATCACCCAGTGTTAACTGTTAGTTATCACCCAGTGTTAACTGATAGTTATCACCCAGTGTTAACTGATAGTTATCACCCAGTGTTAACTGATAGTTATCACCCAGTGTTAACTGATAGTTATCACCCAGTGTTAACTGATAGTTATCACCCAGTGTTAACTGATAGTTATCACCCAGTGTTAACTGTTAGTTATCACCCAGTGTTAACTGATAGTTATCACCCAGTGTTAACTGTTAGTTATCACCCAGTGTTAACTGATAGTTATCACCCAGTGTTAACTGATAGTTATCACCCAGTGTTAACTGATAGTTATCACCCAGTGTTAACTGATAGTTATCACCCAGTGTTAACTGATAGTTATCACCCAGTGTTAACTGATAGTTATCACCCAGTGTTAACTGTTAGTTATCACCCAGTGTTAACTGATAGTTATCACCCAGTGTTAACTGATAGTTATCACCCAGTGTTAACTGATAGTTAGTTATGATAGTAGTTATCACCCAGTGTTAACTGTTAGTTATTACCCAGTGTTAACTGATAGTTATCACCCAGTGTTAACTGTTAGTTATCACCCAGTGTTAACTGTTAGTTATCACCCAGTGTTAACTGTTAGTTATCACCCAGTGTTAACTGATAGTTATCACCCAGTGTTAACTGTTAGTTATCACCCAGTGTTAACTGATAGTTATCACCCAGTGTTAACTGTTAGTTATCACCCAGTGTTAACTGTTAGTTATCACCCAGTGTTAACTGTTAGTTATCACCCAGTGTTAACTGTTAGTTATCACCCAGTGTTAACTGTTAGTTATCACCCAGTGTTAACTGTTAGTTATCACCCAGTGTTAACTGTTAGTTATCACCCAGTGTTAACTGTTAGTTATCACCCAGTGTTAACTGTTAGTTATCACCCAGTGTTAACTGATAGTTATCACCCAGTGTTAACTGTTAGTTATCACCCAGTGTTAACTGTTAGTTATCACCCAGTGTTAACTGTTAGTTATCACCCAGTGTTAACTGATAGTTATCACCCAGTGTTAACTGTTAGTTATCACCCAGTGTTAACTGTTAGTTATCACCCAGTGTTAACTGTTAGTTATCACCCAGTGTTAACTGATAGTTATCACCCAGTGTTAACTGTTAGTTATCACCCAGTGTTAACTGATAGTTATCACCCAGTGTTAACTGTTAGTTATCACCCAGTGTTAACTGATAGTTATCACCCAGTGTTAACTGATAGTTATCACCCAGTGTTAACTGATAGTTATCACCCAGTGTTAACTGATAGTTATCACCCAGTGTTAACTGATAGTTATCACCCAGTGTTAACTGTTAGTTATCACCCAGTGTTAACTGATAGTTATCACCCAGTGTTAACTGATAGTTATCACCCAGTGTTAACTGATAGTTATCACCCAGTGTTAACTGATAGTTATCACCCAGTGTTAACTGATAGTTATCACCCAGTGTTAACTGATAGTTATCACCCAGTGTTAACTGTTAGTTATCACCCAGTGTTAACTGTTAGTTATCACCCAGTGTTAACTGATAGTTATTACCCAGTGTTAACTGATAGTTATCACCCAGTGTTAACTGTTAGTTATCACCCAGTGTTAGCTGATAATTATCACCCAGTGTTAACTGATAGTTATCACCCAGTGTTAACTGATAGTTATCACCCAGTGTTAACTGTTAGTTATCACCAAGTAAACTACAGCACAGCTCTGTGATCTATCATAGAGTTGTACGATTTTGGGATATTTGTAATATTGTTGCAAGTATTTAAGTCACAGTTTTTGCCTATTTGTAAATTTATCCTTTAAGCCAATATATGTGAAGCCATTACATGATGATTTCCCTGCCTCCCCGGACATGTTTAAAATATGTAATACCACTGGAGAGCCCCCTGTCAGTGACTGGTATTCCCCTGTTGTATACTCTTGTAATACCACTAGTGAGTCCCCCTGTCAGTGACTGATATTCCCCTGTTGTAAACTCTTGTAATACCACTAGTGAGTCCCCCTGTCAGTGACTGGTATTTCCCTGTTGTAAACTCTTGTAATACCACTAGTGAGTCCCCCTGTCAGTGACTGGTATTCCCCTGTTGTAAACTCTTGTAATACCACTAGAGAGTCCCCCTGTCAGTGACTGGTATTCCCCTGTTGTAAACTTTTGTAATACCACTAGTGAGTCCCCCTGTCAGTGACTGATATTCCCCTGTTGTAAACTCTTGTAATACCACTGGAGAGTTCCCCTGTCAGTGACTGGTATTCCCCTGTTGTATACTCTTGTAATACCACTGGAGAGTTCCCCTGTCAGTGACTGGTATTCCCCTGTTGTATACTCTTGTAATACCACTAGAGAGTTCCCCTGTCAGTGACTGGTATTCCCCTGTTGTATACTCTTGTAATACCACTAGAGAGTTCCCCTGTCAGTGACTGGTATTCCCCTGTTGTATACTCTTGTAATACCACTAGAGAGTTCCCCTGTCAGTGACTGGTATTCCCCTGTTGTAAACTCTTGTAATACCACTAGAGAGTTCCCCTGTCAGGGACTGGTATTCCCCTGTTGTAAACTCTTGTAATACCACTAGTGAGTCCCCCTGTCAGTGACTGGTATTCCCCTGTTGTAAACTCTTGTAATACTACTGGAGAGTCCCCCTGTCAGTGACTGGTATTCCCCTGTTGTAAACTCTTGTAATACCACTAGAGAGTTCCCCTGTCAGGGACTGGTATTCCCCTGTTGTAAACTCTTGTAATACCACTGGAGAGCCCCCTGTCAGTGACTGGTATTCCCCTGTTGTATACTCTTGTAATACCACTAGTGAGTCCCCCTGTCAGTGACTGGTATTCCCCTGTTGTAAACTCTTGTAATACCACTAGTGAGTCCCCCTGTCAGTGACTGGTATTCCCCTGTTGTAAACTCTTGTAATACTACTGGAGAGTCCCCCTGTCAGTGACTGGTATTCCCCTGTTGTAAACTCTTGTAATACCACTAGAGAGTCCCCCTGTCAGTGACTGGTATTCCCCTGTTGTAAACTCTTGTAATACCACTGGAGAGTCCCCCTGTCAGTGACTGGTATTCCCCTGTTGTAAACTCTTGTAATACCACTGGAGAGCCCCCTGTCAGTGACTGGTATTCCCCTGTTGTATACTCTTGTAATACCACTAGAGAGTTCCCCTGTCAGGGACTGGTATTCCCCTGTTGTAAACTCTTGTAATACCACTAGAGAGTTCCCCTGTCAGGGACTGGTATTCCCCTGTTGTATACTCTTGTAATACCACTGGAGAGTCCCCCTGTCAGTGACTGGTATTCCCCTGTTGTAAACTCTTGTAATACCACTGGAGAGTCCCCCTGTCAGTGACTGGTATTCCCCTGTTGTAAACTCTTGTAATACCACTAGTGAGTCCCCCTGTCAGTGACTGGTATTCCCCTGTTGTAAACTCTTGTAATACCACTAGTGAGTCCCCCTGTCAGTGACTGGTATTCCCCTGTTGTAAACTCTTGTAATACCACTAGTGAGTCCCCCTGTCAGTGACTGGTATTCCCCTGTTGTAAACTCTTGTAATACCACTAGTGAGTCCCCCTGTCAGTGACTGGTATTCCCCTGTTGTAAACTCTTGTAATACCACTAGTGAGTCCCCCTGTCAGTGACTGGTATTCCCCTGTTGTAAACTCTTGTAATACCACTAGTGAGTCCCCCTGTCAGTGACTGGTATTCCCCTGTTGTAAACTCTTGTAATACTACTGGAGAGTCCCCCTGTCAGTGACTGGTATTCCCCTGTTGTAAACTCTTGTAATACCACTAGTGAGTCCCCCTGTCAGTGACTGGTATTCCCCTGTTGTAAACTCTTGTAATACCACTAGTGAGTCCCCCTGTCAGTGACTGGTATTCCCCTGTTGTAAACTCTTGTAATACTACTGGAGAGTCCCCCTGTCAGTGACTGGTATTCCCCTGTTGTAAACTCTTGTAATACCACTAGAGAGTCCCCCTGTCAGTGACTGGTATTCCCCTGTTGTAAACTCTTGTAATACCACTAGTGAGTCCCCCTGTCAGTGACTGGTATTCCCCTGTTGTAAACTCTTGTAATACTACTGGAGAGTCCCCCTGTCAGTGACTGGTATTCCCCTGTTGTAAACTCTTGTAATACCACTAGAGAGTCCCCCTGTCAGTGACTGGTATTCCCCTGTTGTAAACTCTTGTAATACTACTGGAGAGTCCCCCTGTCAGTGACTGGTATTCCCCTGTTGTAAACTCTTGTAATACCACTAGAGAGTTCCCCTGTCAGGGACTGATATTCCCCTGTTGTATACTCTTGTAATACCACTGGAGAGCCCCCTGTCAGTGACTGGTATTCCCCTGTTGTAAACTCTTGTAATACCACTGGAGAGTCCCCCTGTCAGTGACTGGTATTCCCCTGTTGTATACTCTTGTAATACCACTGGAGAGCCCCCTGTCAGTGACTGGTATTCCCCTGTTGTATACTCTTGTAATACCACTGGAGAGTTCCCCTGTCAGTGACTGGTATTCCCCTGTTGTATACTCTTGTAATACCACTAGAGAGTTCCCCTGTCAGGGACTGGTATTCCCCTGTTGTAAACTCTTGTAATACTACTGGAGAGTCCCCCTGTCAGTGACTGATATTCCCCTGTTGTAAACTCTTGTAATACCACTAGAGAGTTCCCCTGTCAGGGACTGATATTCCCCTGTTGTAAACTCCCTTACAGATACTAAAGCCAGCATCACAGCGGCAAAAACTGCAACCAAACAGGCTGAAATGAAGTTGAAATACAGCCAGGAGGAGCTGAAGAAGAAAGAACAGGAAATGAAGCGAACAGCAACTGAATATACAAAGGACAAATCCCTTCTTGACAGGATGGAGAAGGAGGTTAAAAATATTGAAGTAAGTTAGTAGTGGTAACGTGTAAATTTGTAATTTGGTTTTCCTCTTTTTTAAATTAAAATCATTCAATTTTATTATTTTGTTAGTCTTATTATATATCTTTCTTGTTACTGAAGAGGAGGTGAACTACCATGGCGAATTAAGCTTGTGAGGGAGCCTCTACAACATGTTATAAGGGAAACCTAATTAGAAATATACGCATAAATAATAAAACAAATTATTTACAGCGGAATCTCGAGTTGGTAAATCTTGGGTTGGAATGTTCACTTTCCAGGCTGGATTTACTCGCCCGATTCCACCAGCTCTTGTTGCCCATCATATCAAGGGTTAAAGTGAAAGATTCCTTTAGTGAAATGAGTCCATAGAGCATGGGAAATATGACGGTATGAATGGTAACACTCTTAATAGGGCTCCAATTACCTTTGTAATGATTTTCATGGATGGACATGAGATTTGAAGAAAGAGTTGGGGGCCTTGCAAAATGCCATTGAGGATATTTAAAACAAGATTGTTTTTTATTTTTAGTTGCAGAGATTTTTGTTCAGGAAAATATGGATTTTTCTTTGAAAATGAGATTTCAAGGCTAGGGCATGGGAAATATGCAAGATGTGGTTAAATCTCTCTTAACATAGGTTCTCTTGGTAGCTGTCCTTCATCAGGCAGGTTGAAATTAAAATTTTACTCGGTGAAATCGACCCATAAAACATGCGAAATTTTAGGGCATGAATGGTAACTCTGTTAACCCTTAAACTGCGCACTACATATACAGTATATACGATGGGAGTAACTTTCCCAAAACTGCGTAATACATACATACACGTTTGAGGGTCTAGCGCACGATTTTAAACACACCGCGTGAGATCGGGTCAACTATAGTCAAGCCAGACCTGACCGTAAACAGACGCTACCTGGGAAAATAATCCAGCATAGGCCGCCATTGTCTGCAGGCCTCAGTTACCTGACACCGACTCCATCATACTTTTTCATCTTCATTCTTTAATATCACCTCATAATCACTACATGCATGATTAATTAATGTATCTAAGCATCAATATAAGATCACTAGACACTTAATCTCACTGTACAAGTCAAACTATATCAATTGAAGGCTCTTACCATAATTACTGGAGTGACAACGCTTGCCTCCACAAAATCAAGATGTTGCCTGGGATTTACCTCCTCTGCAAGTCGACCACTAGTTCTTATCTTGACCGTCACTCGACTTCTTATCCTGATTTCGGTGTGGGGATCAATACACAAGCACCAGACTTGGCTCACCTGTTAACAGGTCCTCACCTAGCACAAGCAGACCTCTTCTAGGTATATCCAGTGGGCTACCAGGGTACGATCACCCTCCCTTGGATTCAGACTGCATTTTTGTTATGTAAGTCAAGACTAATGCCACAATTGCCTGCTATTTGCCTAGAACACTTGTCTCCTGTTGCAGTTCATAGTAGTTTCTTCACCAAAATGCAAAAAAATATACTTCTAACTGGCAGCGAATTGCGTGCACCCTCCACTGACAAGTGGCGTCGCAAAGCCTGTACACACAACACGTTAATCCCTTGCTCCTTCCTCATTGGCTAGCGATGACATCATCAAGATTCTTCCTCCTTGGGAAATCCCACATATGGTCGCCATCCTTTTGTATTTTTCCAAAGTTGCTCAGTGACACACTTAATGCTTCCAACACTGCTTCTTTCATATCATCCAACGGGGGTTTATTCTGCAAACTGTACTCAAACGCCTTATCTTAATCTTCTGTAGGATCAAGTGAGGAATAATTAATGTTGGGACATAACCTAAATCATGAGGCTGTATTGGGGATCACAACAAAACACAATCAATTCCAATACAGTACCTATGTACAAAAAAACCAGTTATGAGAAAGATGTGAGGGGAGGAGGTCTAACTTTAAAGAAGAATGTAGACAATTATTCTAAAACATTTCAGATTTCACGTATTTTCCAGTAGTAAATTCTCTGAGTTTTTGAGGTTCCCATTACTGTGCATTGTATCGAGGTTCTCGATTTTTAAGGTAACCGTATAGTTTTTTTTGGTTATGACTGGGTGTAATTTCATCTTCACTTCGTTTTCTTAATTTTACTAATAGGCTATACTCTTGAAGTTCACAAGTTCATACAACCCAATTATTTTCATTGTCTTAATGTTATTTTCAGACTCAGTTGGGTAAGCTTGACTATGATGACCATAAAGTGGAGGAGCTGGAAGGGGAGCGTCGTGTGCTGAACAATCAATTAATGAACTTACAGGAGAAGGTAGAATATCTGGAATCCAGGTAAAGTCTTTCCAGACAATTGTAATTTTGCTAAGTTATTGTCTCTCAAAAGTAGATTATATTATATACCCAATGAAATGAAGCTTTGTCTGTTTTCAATAAATAAATTGATGTTTAATTTAAACAATATAGTGTGTCCTCTCCATAAGAACGTGCACTTTACGTGCGCCCAGAGATGGACCTCTTCGCGTCTGCATGGTTTCAGCATCTTCCATTGTTCATGACGCCATTCCCCAACTCCAAGCTTCTCGTGGTGGATGCTTTTTCGGCAGGACTGGTCGCAGTGGGGGTTCCTCTACTTTTTACCTGGTCCAGCTGTTGCTCTTGGTTATGGCTCCGTTGGGATCCTATTGGGAGAGAGTTCTTCTGGCCCTATGGTCTTGAAGGGAGCCGGTCGGCCGAGCGGACAGCACACTGGACTTGTGATCCTGTGGTCCCGGGTTCGATCCCGGGCGCCGGCGAGAAACAATGGGCAGAGTTTCTTTCACCCTATGCCTCGGTTACCTAACAGTAAAATAGGTACCTGGGTGTTAGTCAGCTGTCACGGGCTGCTTCCTGGGGGTGGAGGCCTGGTCGAGGACCGGGCCGCGGGGACACTAAAGCCCCGAAATCATCTCAAGATAACCTCAAGATGGTGGCCGGCCCAGCCTTGGTTTCAGGCACTTCTTGCTCGGTGTCCGAACCAGGGCGTTTTTCTGTGGCTCTGCCTTTCCAGTGGTCGGGCTGGTGAGGTGTCACTGGTTCGACTTCCTCATCCGTGTTACGTGCCTGGTATTTCTGACACATGTATCGTCATTTGTATGGTGATTGAGTGGCTTCTTTTCTGGTGTCCCACCTGCCGTTTTTATCTCAGCGACGGTATGAGACGAACTCTTGGCGGTCTTTCCGCTTTTTTTTTTTTTTTCTCTTCGTCAGGTTTCGTCTGTGTCAAACTTGATTGTTTTGTTCTTTGTCTCTTGGCCTTTTCTGGGGGGGGAGCCTCGTTGTCTCCCCGGAGCTTTCCCAGGCTGATATGCTAATGTCAGACTTTGGCATCAGTCATGTGTATGGAGTTCTTAGGCCTACCAGGGACCACGGCCAGAACCGGGCCCCCTCAGATAGGCAAGGGGGACAATGGCCTATAGAAACCCCTGTGTGGTTGGAAGCATTCTATGTCTGCCATCGACCGGAACAGGCACCCAGAAAGGTAAGCGCCTCAAAACAAACCCCTATTCTGGTTAAAATTGCTACCAAAAGCCGAACTAGTGGATAGAACTCCCCAACCGAAAACAAGCAAACTAGTGTGATGTCACACTTCGCCGCGCTGCTGTCTGCACAGCTTTCCCCCTCCCCAGGAGGGGGAAGGGGGAGCCTCAGACCCTCCATCGCCGGCTACCCACACCTCAGTTCTTGAGGCTGATGCTATAGGCGAAGGTCGTGTGCTCTGGCTCCAGTGTCGCTACAGCACTGTGCTTCGCGTGTGGTGTTTGTTTTTGTGGGTGCGAGAGCCAAGAGTTATCTTCAGTACTCGGGCTGCATGTGCCTAGGGCTGCCTTCCCTAGGTGCCCTGCAAGTACTGCCCTTGGGGCTTGGGGCCACCTTCCACAGGCTCCTCGGGGTCTGCCTCTGCTGGTCCGTTTTACCTTTTCGGCCGCCTGTTGGGCTCTTGGGTATTCTGTTCTCCCTTGTAACCGGCAGGTAAGAGGCAGTTTGCACTGGTAGGGGCGCAGGGTGCTGCACAGCTTGTATTCCCGACACAGCGGCCGGCTCTGTTCCTTGGGGTTCGCTGTACGGGGTTTTGTTTTTCTTTTTGTTTTTGCCTGGTGGGGAGTTCTGTCATATTCCATTAGTTTTTGTCCTTCCACTGTTCTCCTCAGTGGCGCCCCCTGCTAGGTCCCCGTGAGTGTACACGTCCCAGGGGTACAGCTATAGAAGTTCACTTGGTAGTTTGGGGCGCCGGTTAGCAGCGCCCTGCCTGGGTCTACCTAAATGCGAGTCCTCTTAAAGTAAACGCTCAGGACCCTGGGAATCCCCTAGGGGGCACGTGGGTCCGATGGATGTGACCCCGGAGTCCCCACTCGCTGTGTGCGAGTTTGAGGGTTGCTCGGTCCCCTTGTCTCAGTGTGACCCTCATTGTTTTTGCCTCTGCCACGCTGCCTGTTGGGTCGGTGATACTTTCGACCCTGAGTCCTGTGAGTGTTGCTGCTTGCTTGTGACTCAATTTACCCAATCCTCTGATGATTGTATTCGGGTATAGGCGGCGCTTGTGTTGCAGTCTAGGTTTCGTCTGTTGCAACGCGCTCAGTTGGTTGCTTACCCGGGTGCCCCGGGGCTGCCCCGCTTTGCTTTTTCGAGACCCGGACTTGGGGGTGGGGGTCGCTTCTATCCTGGTTCAGTCCGCACCTCCTCGTCCTTCCCCTTTCATTCGTTCTGGTCCCCCCCTCCCCCTGCTTCCGGCCCCGAAGCATCTGAAGGTTTCGGGGTTGGAGCAGGAGTTACTTGATCTCAATACTCGGGCCGCTTCGGGGGTGCCCCTTCCGGGAGGAGGGGGGCAGAGGCATTCGAGTCTTGTCTCCCGGCCGAAGCTTCTGGGTCTGACCAGTGGGTCCCCCTTCCTCCGGCTTCTACAGCTGCTCCATCCTTGTCTTGTGGGGTCAGGGCTTGGGGAGAGGACTCGGCCCCGGGTCCTGTGGTGAAGGACCTCGAGGCTGGGGAGGGGCTGACCTGGGGGCCTTGGGCCCCACTGGACCCCGCCTGGGTTTTTCTTCACTCTGAGCGGGGCTTATTGTTACAAGGAGTGGGGTTTTCTTTTCCCCCCTCTGCGTACGAGTTGGATTTGGTGTCGCCCCCTCCCCGGGTTCGGTTCCGTGTTCCCCCGGGTACGTTGGTTCCATCTTTCCGGAGGTTTTCGGTTTATCGCATCCAACCTGGTGTGGTGTGGGCAGCCTTTGCAGCTTACCTCCTGCGTGACCTGGATTATGCCTCGGAAATGGATCCGTCCTAATTCAGGTTTGGGACTTCGTTCCCTTTCTGGCTCCGTTACGAGGTTCCAGAGTCTTCCTGGCTAGCAGACTGCCCCTTGTTTGTTCTGGATTCTTGGCATTCCTTCTGTCGTTCCCACACGTTGGAGTTGCGGGAAGCTTCCACGGTGCTTCAGGTTTTCCTGGGGTGCGATCTTGAGTACCTGAATGAGTGCTTGTTTGCCCCTGCTCTTCCCCCGCGATGTGGGCGTTATTCAGCTCCATGTGCAGGTTCCCACCCTTTCAGCGGCGCTCATAGCGGAGGACTTGTGCGCCGGGGCCTTTTGGCTTCGGCCTTGCGGTTCTTTTCCCTCCTTGAGCTGTCCTCGGATTGGCTTGTGGAGGATGTGAGGACGCTTGAGTCCGTCCCGAGGTCCGGCGCCTTGTCCTCGGCAGCGCGTTCGTCGGCTGCCTTGTTGAAGCTGTTCACGCCGACTTTGAGGGATGCGGTTTCCCTGTTTTATGCTTCCCGTCTCACGTGTCGGCAGACAGTGCTGGGTTCCTCCGTGAAATCCGCTTGGGCTCTGGCTCTTAGGCGTTCTTCGCCTTTTTGTCCTCTTCTGTTTGAGGAGTCGGCCGTGGTGTAGTTTATTCAGGCTGCGTTGTCGGCTTGTCGTTCGATGTCGGACTTGTTGGTTTTCCGGGGGTCCCGGGGTGGGTCTTCCCGGAAGGGTCGTGCCAGGGCTCGGGGTTCCTCTCGTCGTGGTAGGCCACTGGTGTCAGGTTCAGGTTCGGCTCCTACTCCGGACCCTCCCTCGTCTGGTCGGCGCGGTGTTCGCTCTGTGTGGGGTTCTGGGTCTCGTAAGGGTCGCCGGCCCTTTCGCGGCTTGCGTTGTTCACCCACGCCTGGTCCCACGATTCATGGGCCTTTTGGGTCGTGTCTGTCGGCCTGCGGTGGCGTTAAATGCCCCCCCTCCCTTGGGGGGGTCGGGGCTGGCAGGGCAGGTTTCTTCCCCTGCGCTCTGTTGGGTCGTCTTGGAGTGGGTTTGCTTGGGCGTCGTCGAAACGACGTCGTCCCTCAGATGGGTTTCCCGTCTGTTTCCGGTTCCGAAACAGGACTGTGCGAACCTGCGGTTCATTCTGGACTTGTCCCGTCTGAACCCCTGGGTTCATTGCCCCTACTTTCAGTTGACTATGCTGTCTCAGGTTCGGCTCCTCTTAGAGCCGAACCTCTTAGAGCATGTCCCGATTCATCCACGGTTCAGGGACTGGCTCGGTTTTGTTGTGGAGCGTCTGAGTTACCGCTTTCGTTGTCTCCCGTTCGGGTTGAACCTGGCATCTCGCGTGTTCACGCACCTTACACGGGTTGTGGTGGCCCATTTGCGTATCCTAGGTGTTTGGGTGTTGGCCTACCTCAATGACTGGCTGGTTTGGGCTCCCAGCCGGTCAGCTTGCTTGCTAGCCAGGGATTTGGTTCTTTCCCAGCTCGCCGGGTTCAGGTTCTTGGTGAACTGGAGGAAGTCCCATCTGGTCCCCTCTCAGGTTCGGACTTGGCTGGGTCTCGTTTGGGACTCTTGGACCGCCTCCTTGTCTCTCCCTCCGGAGTCTCTCCGGCGGCTGTGGTCCCGCCTTCGTCTGTTTCTGGTGGGCCCTTGGGTCACCTGGCGGTTGCTCGAGGGGCTGTGCGGGAGCCTGAACTTTGTGATGGTGGTCTACCCGCCGGGTCGGGTTTGGCTTCATCGGCTGTTCTGGTTCCTTCGGGATCACCCCTTCCACCTCTCTCGCGATCGCAGGGTTCGACCCCCCTGGGGCCTTGCGCCGGTTGCTGCGTCACTGGCTTCTTCTTCGGGTTTTTCGGGGTTCAGTGCCTTGGCGCCTACCCGAGCCCTCGCTCGATGTGTACATGGATGCATCGTCTCTCGGCTGGGGCTTTGTGACCAGTGCTCACCAGGGTGGCCAGGGGAGTTGGAGTCCATCCTTCCGTCGAGCTCACAGGACGGTGCGGGAGTTCATGGCAGTGTGGTTTGCTCTTTGGAGGATTCGGGTGGCCCGCGGATCAAC